AGAAAGGACCAAACCTATCCGGGCAGCCAAGGCGCCGTCAGCTTTCCCCTGCATCCCCACTCACTTAGCACACGGTCAGCCGTCTGTTCCCTGGATGGTGGATCAGCAACTCCCTGGACCTACAGGAGACAACTCCCTCACTGCTTTGCAAATTGCCAAGTCCCTCAGCGAAGTTGACTTCTTCCCCACAGAGCAGAGAGGCCCATCCATACCCAACCAGAGGCCATGTTATAGAAATGGTCCTTCCATGCATGGAGATAGAAGCTACAGTTGGGAGAAAGAGGTAGGAAACTGCTCTCAAAGACAGTTGCTGTTGATGTGACACGTGGTTCTCTGTAAAAACTAAAATATATCCATCTGCTTTATCTCAATGCAGGTGTCTGTCCTCCAAGGTGCACCGGAGACCGTGCGGGAGCTTCTCAGTACTCTGGGTCTTCAGAAATACACCCTGGGACTCAGCCTCAATGGCTGGGATGATCTGGATTACTTCAGGTGAGTACTGGATTTCCTTTACTACACAGACACAGAAGGTGGTTTTGCAGTTACTAGCAGGAGTGTGATATCACTACCAACACCAATCTAGCAAATGCCCCCAAATATGCATATCTGTTAGCATCTAAGTAAACAATTTTGATCAATACTGAAACATAAGTTAGAAGAAGAAAAAAAAAAAAAGCTAATGAAAGACATTTAAAGGAACTGCAACTAACATCGAGTTTTTCACATGGTGGTTGCTGCTAAGAAAAGTCAAGTCAAATTTTATTTACACAGCCCAAAATCACAATTGGACACATGGGGGCTTTGCAATATGTACATGCTACATTTCATATGAACATTCAGCACCCACTGTCCTTAGACCCTTGATTTGGGTAAGGAAAAACTCAAAAAGATTGAAGAAAACTCAGCTAGAGCCACAGAGGAGCGATCCCAAGACTGACAGACATGCAGTAAATGTTGAGTTTACAGAACAAATCAACAAAATCACATTATATACAAATTTTAATGACACAAAAGAGCACCTTAATGCAAGCTCTGTTATTTGCAGTGTTAGCTGTGAAAACTTTCACCACCAAAAACAATGTTTTATTTTTCCACCACTGACCTGCATTTTCTCTTTTTTTCAAACAATTGCTCTGTTTCCCACTGTGATGGTTTCACAAAACTTGAACCACAATCCACAAAGCAAATAAAAAATATAGCACACATAAGTAACTGGAAGCACTGATGGCTAACTCACTATTCATTTAGTGATATTTTATTCAATTCTTTGAGCAAGATATATTTGTTTGTTTGCTTCAGTATTCACAACACAGTTCAAATTACTTGATTGATTAAATCACTAGCGTGCATGTGACAGTCATGCTCATCAAGTGAGTTGACTGAGCATCAGGTTAGCAGTTAGATCCTCACTGTGGCACAGATGCTAACATAAATCCAGTCACCAAAATTTACTGGACTGTGAAGTTCTAAACTTTACAAATTAAGTAAGAAATGCTGTCAATTACCATAGAAGTTTTAGTTAAGTTTGATTCAATGCCATGTCTTCTCTGCACAGTGGTATCACTGAGGAAGATTTACGCGCTGCAGGAGTGACGAACCCTTCACACCGACGCAGGATCCTTGAGAACCTGCCCAGGAACTGGAACTGACATACAGAGATGAAAAGCTGATGGTATGAAGCCTCGTCATCTGCTCAATTAGAACTGGAAGTGTTGGAACTGAGATCTGAAAGGAGGACAGGCTGATCGGATATCAATCGCACCAGCTGGACTTTACCACGGCACTGCCATTATTTTCATTTACTTGATCGATGCTGTAACAGTAGTTTGTGTCAACACAGCAAAGGGAACATAACGCAGGAAGCACTCGTTGCACAGTCTGCTTTATTCATCCATCCATCTCGATGGATAATGAAAGAGATGGGTGATATGAATGGAAACCTTGATCTGTATCTCCAGTTACTGACACCTATACAAATATTGATTTCCGTATGAAGGTCTCATTGATTTTGTTTTAAATGATTTTTAAATGACTATAAAAATATAGTCCTTCAATTGCCAGTGTTCGTTCAAGGCTAGTGTTTACCATTCACCTTCATCCCTTCTACTGTGTGCTTTCCATTACTTTGCTATAATTGAGCCTTGATCTGAGTTTGTAAAAGCCCTCTATTAAACCTATGGAGCATATAATCCATAGCTGTAGATATCTACTGGAACATTGTCTGTAAAGTTGGTATAGAAGGACCTTCCATATCTCAGTTTGTTTACTGCCTCATACTGTTGCTATCATGTCACTTAATCAGTGCCTTATCCACTGTGCGTGTTTTATGCAACCTTTTTTAAAGTAAAGTGCATAAAGCAACTCTTGACGGTCACCAAGCAATCACAAGTGTTATTTCATGCTGTTGAGCAGTGGTGGAAACAGAGAAATCCCTTCTTCAAGCCATTTCAGTGCTCACATCACATGCTGCTCCTATGTTGTTTTATGGTACCAAGACACATTTGTGAAACACAAGTCACTACCAACTGTAGATAGTTTATAAAACCAGAGATGCAACCATATTTATTTTACCAAGAAAAAAAATCATAGGGAAATTATTGGCCACCATGTTTGGCAAATCCACGGCAAAAAGATGATGCTTCTCTTTAAGTGGTAGTTATGAAAGTACCTACACACTCTGCATTACTGGGTAGCTTTAGCCAAGCATTGTATACGTGTTTCTCTCAAGTTTGTGCCAGATTTCTACTGTCACAATGAATATTTTACATTTTTTAAGTTACTATCGAGTACTGAGGTTTATGTCCTTAGTTTGATGACTGACAAATCACCAGTGCTTTTCCAAATGTTAAACAACTTCTACAAATATGATTACATTAGTTATATTTATGAATACTGCATGGCCATGAACAAATATGTGAGAGTTGTATTTATCAGCTCAGTTAATAATAGACCGCAACAGAAAGAGATGAGACAGCTGTGAATCTGAGCCCAAAATAACTTGTAAATATCCCACTCAGTGTGTGACTGTCTGTGTTTTTGCTTGTAGCTTTCGGTTAAGTTACTTATTAAGGCATGACCAAACACATCCCTAGCAGCAAATATGTGTCAGCGACCGCCGAGTCACTGCTGCTCTGACTGTAGTGATGTCATCAACCGAAGGGGAGCTGGAAATTGGCAACATACAAATTTAAAGGAAATGGGTGGAAAGTACTGAATGTTTTTTCTGTTAAAGCTGATATGTTTAATTGAACATGGGTTTAGATTGACATAGTTATATGGAGCAGCATGTTTTAGCACAATGTGTGTGTATACAGACGTAGAAAAGGTTAAAGATTTCCTTTCAGACATGTTTTAAGACCTTTCAAAATAGTCTTCTTTGAATAATAATAATTCATGTTTGAGAAAAAATCAATTAGAATATCTATGAATATGCAAATATTTGTCATTTCAAAAGTTCAAATCCTTTGTTAGTGTTTTAGTGTCCAGATTTCCACAGCAGCCTTTTCAAAGTTGGACCGTGATTGGCTTTCAAACTAGTTGTTATGTCAAGAAATGTAAGTACTCGACTCTGCACATTCATCATTCTGCACAGTGAGGGTCAAACATTCATGTGAAATAACAATAAGCAAAACACATTTATGAGTGCAGGGAGACTTTAAGACATAGTTATTTAACAATCTACCAATGAATTCATAATCAGATGAAAGCAGCTTTGTTTGTATGTTGACATGTTTTTGGGGATTTTAAACCGATGCTGTACTTTGAATGGGTTTCTGATGAAGAACATGCTTTGTCAGTGGCCCACTCACATTCCAGACATCCAAACCACAGAAACCCAATACCGTACACAAACACAAACTCGCATCGCTACCACCAAGCTGACCCATACACACAGAGTGGGAATGGGCCGAAGGGGTCTGGAATTTCCATTTGTGAGGGATTTTCACCTCTCGTACTTACTTTTATTTACAATATCGGGGGTTTTAACTATTCTAAATAAGTTATCGGTCTTTAAAATTTTAATTTAACTTCCAAATACTTCCAATATTTATCTAATGTTAAGATGTGCAGACCCAGAAAACAGAACTTTAGAAGGATGTCAACAGAGTCATATTTTATGTACTACCGTCAATCTTAAAGTAGACCATAAAAGGGTAATTCAGAACAAATGTGTTCATAAACTATGGGTTATTGGGCGTGGCTATGATCTTGCTTGCGACTGTGGGTCAATCAAACTTTAGTTTTTGGTGACTTATTAAGTGACAGCCTCATCTCACCTCAGTTTATCACCTGCCTCTGACAGTAACATTTCTCATCCTGCCCACTTTTATTTTTTTATGATCAGACTTTACAATGTTCCACACCTCATCACATGAATCTTACAGACAAGCCTCAGATGACAGAGATTACTACTTGATCATGTGAATCTTACTGAAAAGCCTCAGATCACAAAGATTATGGAGGAGATGAACCAGCTGCTCCTTCACAGCCTTTTATAACAGCTATATAGACAACTGTACAGCTGTGCAAATATTAACTTCTGCTACGTCTCAGTATTGACTGCCATTAAGTGTTGTCATGGAAATTAGTTTTTATTCTGAAGACACATAATGGTGGAAGAAGTATTCACTTCTTTTACTTACGTTAAAGTAGCAATATCACATTCTGCATTCGGAATTTTCCTTAAAGGTCCCCTCCAGACAAAATGAGACCAAAAGTACTCATAGTTAACCAGTGTTAGGGTGCTGCTTCTCCATGGGTTAGGGCAGGGCGTTAACATGTAAGCAGTATTTTAAAGTTGTGGCTCCAGGGAGTGCTGAGTAGGACTACTTTATATGCCATAGTATTGCATTAATGTCATGAGAAATAATATTATAGTAATAGGGATAATAGTAGCACAAAAATACTAAATACTATAGAATGATATTTGAATTAGTGCATCCATTTTAATCCAAAATGATGACATTAGAGCAGACATACTGGGTGTGGAGGTGCTGTACTTCTGCAGCTGCTACAAGGATTAACCTCCCAACGTCAAACTCAAAGTATTGATTAGTGTCTGTGTGAAAATGAGCTCTGGTAGTAGTTGTAGTTTAGTTTCGTTCAGTTAAAAGTGGCTTCCACTGGAGACTGTTTTTTGGGGCGGCAGTTTTGTCCACTCAGCAGTGTGACTTCCCATCTCAGCCCTGTAGTATATGTGTATCTGCTCTCCATGTGTCCTGCGCTCACTGCTCACTGTCTCTGCTGCGGCGCCATGGACTCCAACCCGACTTCGAGCGAAACATAACTTTCAAAGTGCGTGTCTAATGTGCAACATGACGGACTGAGCAGAGCAGCGACTGATCTCGGCTAAAGAGCGAAACTGGTGAAATTAGACGAGTTCTCCGTGTAGCACTGGGATCAGGACCAGCGTGAGTCCTGCCAGTCTTCAAGATCCCCACTCAGGGTAAGTTGCCGCAGTGTGTCAACCATAACTGGGTTCTTATGAGTGTGTGGCCGAGATATGTCGACCAAGGATAGCGTTGTTTACCATGTGAAGAACACCGTGTTGAGAACAGATGTGGTTAAACACTTAATTAATTGTAGAAACACATTATTAGTGGCGGAAAGTAAGTAGTATTCAGACCCTTTACTTGAGTAAAAGTAGTCTCTTACAAGTAAGCCTCAAGTCCTCAAGTACTCAATGTCCCATGTTACTGTTTCCCCAATATTATTATTATTACTCGTGAATTAATGTTAAAGCAGGATTTTACTATATTGTAGTTTGTTGACGAGTTCATTACATTACTTCACTATTTTGTAGGACTGCAACTAGTGGGTATTTTTTTTTGCATCATTTTAATTTTATGGATTTATCTGGTGATCATTTTCTCCATTAATTGATTTTATGGGAAATGTCACAATTACCCAGAACTCAAAGTGAAACCAAAACCTGCTTGTCTTGCCCAACAAAAAGCACAAACTTCAAAATGATTACAAATTAATAAAAACAATTTGTGAAGCTGGAACCATATAATGTATTTGTCAGTTCACTAATTGATTAATCAACGATCATATTAACTGTATAAACTATTGGGTAGTTTAATTTATAACTTAACATCATTTTATATGTTTTGTGTGCAAATAACCTTAATTTGTAAAATAATGAAAATTGTTGTAATTGTAGTGAAGTAAAAAATACAATATTTCCCTCTGAATTGTCGTGGAGTGGAAGTAGAGAGTGGCATGAAGTTCCTCAAATTTGTACAGTACTTGAGTAAATGTCCTTAGTTACATTCCACCTCTTAGGTACAATTTTGAGGAGGTGTGCTTTTCTAGAGTGGAGTTTGTCAAATGGGGTATGTGTAACTCTACTTTGGAGTATTGCATGACATTTAAAAAATATACATATTTGCTAAAATACTGTCAAACAGCACTAAAACATCTGGAAAAGCAGGTTTTGATCCCTGCAGCTGCCTGCCACTGAGAATCAAAAAGGTCCTCGGTGAAGCAAAAGCTCATGTTTCTCACTAAATTGCCAGGGACAACTTAGCTAAAAATGTATATGTATTTATGTATTTTCATTTTATATCTGTTACGTTATACCTCTACTCCACTATATTTCAGTAAAACATTGTAGCCTACTTGAGTTTTAATTCTTTCTGATGATGCTGTGCTTAAGTAAAAAGGTTTTTTTTACACCGTCACATTTCTACGTTTACCTAAGTTACGGGTCTGAACACTCCTTAGTGAACTTATCTTCATCCTGCAACTAACCATCATTTTCATTATCTTTATTACCTTTTTTAGTTTGAATTAATCTCCATGTATATTTTCTTTATAAATAATGTAAAAGTCTTCTTCCTTTTGAAGGTTTTGTTATCTGCTGGCTTGAAAGTTCCACGTCACCATGGAAACGTTCATCAGGACACATGACGCACACAACCAGTCGTCAGTATTCACCTCGATCTTCAACTCTAGCTGTCGCTTTGATGAGGAGTTCAAATACATCCTGCTGCCTGTGTCCTACAGTCTGGTGTTTGTGGTTGGCTTCGTGCTCAATGCCACAGCTTTGTGGCTGTTCTTGAAGATGCGCCCGTGGAACCCCAGTACAGTGTTCATGTTCCACCTCGCCCTGTCCGACTTCCTGTATGTCCTCTCACTGCCCACCCTCATCTACTACTACGCCAACCGCAGCCACTGGCCCTTTGGCGTGGCTGCCTGCAAAATAGTGCGCTTCCTCTTCTACGCCAACCTCTACTGCAGCATCCTGCTTCTCACCTGCATCAGCGTGCACCGCTATCTGGGCATCTGCCACCCCATCAAGGCGCTGACCTTGGTGAAATCCCGTCACGCCCACCTGGTGTGCGGCATGGTGTGGGGTGTGGTGACCGTGTGTCTGGTGCCCAACCTCATCTTCGTCACCACCTCCAGGAGGGACAATGACACTCTGTGCCATGACACAACCAACCAGGAGTCCTTTGATGAGTATGTGGACTACAGCTCTGTTGTCATGGTGCTCCTGTTTGGCATCCCTTTCCTGGTCATCATGGTGTGTTACTGCTTGATGGCGCGGACCCTGTGCCGGCCCAGACAAGGATTATCTGCCAGCCAGCGGGGCTCCTCCTCACGTCAGAAGTCCATCAAGCTCATCATCGTGGTGTTGGTGGTGTTTGCTGTGAGCTTCGTTCCATTTCACATCACGCGGACGCTCTACTACACCTCCCGAGTGTTAGATCTTAACTGTGAATTCCTCAACATTGTCAACTTTACTTATAAGATCACGAGGCCGCTGGCGAGCGTCAACAGTTGTATTGACCCAATTCTGTATTTCATGGCTGGTGATCACTACCGGTCCAAACTGATGTCTGTTCTGACTGGGAAAAGACAGACAACAAGCAGCCTGATACCTGAACCGGCACAAACACAGCCGAACAATAACCTCGGAATCGCTCTGGTCTACAAGAACCCGGCCCCTAAACCCAGTGGAGAGATTGAGAGATAGTGGGAATGGAGAAGCACCTGTTTGATTTCCCTTTTTTGCACTGAAGGGTTTGGAAGAGAATCAGTTTACTGTAACATTGACAAACAGTAGCTTTCACTCCATCAAATCTCCGTAATGCCTGTGTTTAACAGGCATAAAGACCATGTTTTAATTCCCATCACTTTTACAAAACTCAAGTTATAGTAGACAGTATGTACGCTGCTGTATTTTGTTCTTCTTTGTGGGGGAACTGTGTCTCTGCATAAGAAAAACTATAGTTTCAAATTATAGGAACAGAAAGTAACATGATGGTGGTCACGGCCGCATTAAAGTAAACCATAGACTCAGTCAGTGAATTGTTGTGATCTCGGGTAAAGAGACTGGACGCACACAGATCATATCTGTCGTCGTTTGACTGTGAAGCAGTCGTTCCTGTTTGATCAACAATGTCTGCATGTTACCCAGAAACTGCAGCTACAACCAGTGCCAACTGATCACAGCTGTTTTTTTCCTTCAACTTCCACAGCTGTCTCTTGCTCAACTATGGAGAAAAGTATAGAGGTTGATCTGGAGGAGACATGTCTTTTCGAACCTCCCACGCCTCATTAGACGGATAAGGGATTTTCCTATTTATCCTTTTACCTTTGGGATTGATACATGGAATTTAAAGGCCTTTTGCTCTCAGAAATTTAGGCTCAGCTCCTTGATAGTTTTGCAGGATATGAAGGCGGAGTTGGAAAGTTTTACTTCATGCTACAGAGCATTTGTCCCTCCACCCTTGTTTTTAATGTTGATCTATGAACCTTTGCCGGAGCAGATGTATTCATATGGCTCTGTGTCATATGGTGTTCTCATATTAAATATGAGAACTATGTGTACAGGGGTTTATAAGGTGTAATGTTGCTGCATGAGAAGCTGGTGTTTACTGTATGTCATGTATCATGAACTCTGTGTAATCTAACATGAACTTATTAGGCAATGAGTCTTTCCTGTCTGGTCAGGTACAAATTTCTTAATCAGCTCGACCACATTAAAAGAGTGCATTCAGATTGCTCTATGGGTTTAAGGGGAAACACATGCCACTTCTGTAAAATGCACAGCTCATGTGTTTTAGCCAAACTGAAACTAACTCCTCTTGCTCTACCTGAGTAGATAGAGTAAAGCTGATGTTTGGGAAGTGAAAGCAGATTATGAGTCAAACAACAACAATATATTTTTCGATGGAAGTGTACCATAAACCGCACAGAGTGAGAGCGACTGGAGAGCTGGAGGACATGAGGGACAAACAAAAACACCACTCACTCAGAAAGACTGTTATCATGCCTGTGTACCATCATCAAGATAAAGATGCGTGCTTCTTTTTGGATAATGGCGCTGGCACATTAAACACTGTGTTGATGATAAATGTGAACATGAGAAACAGCAACGCATATACTCGCGAATGTAAACGAGAACCCCTTGGACCTTGATTTTTCCAACATAGGCCACCACTTTAAAGTTAAAACCTGTAGCAGTATTAAAACACTGTGTTACACCTTCTAATGTAAATTTCATATGAACTTGTTCCAGTGCTACACTGCAGCTACATAATGCTTGCATTGACTGAAATATATACTAAATTTATATGCTCATATTTTATGGCAGCACTCTTACTGTATATAAGAAAAGTTTGATGTCTTGAGCATCATTTTACACTCATACAGTCACCTGATGTGTTTGGTATCTTTGAAAGGAATTTAAAACTGCTGTGAAGGTTTGAACAAAGCAAGTTATGATTAGAAATAAACTATGAATAATGTTTATATATAGAATATGTTTCCACCTATAGAAACTAAAGCCTAATGATAATGATTATTACAGTCCAAAAGGACAATTTATTGTTTTTCTGAATATATAACTCAATATTGTCTGTACATTACAAACTGTGTATTATAAGATTATCAGCACTGTCAGTCATTCTGAGTTTTCACCAAGACTGCAGTTCATGAGAAAGTGTAACTTATAACTTATGTACATAAAATTTTATCAGCATGTCTTTCACTTCAGTCAGTTCACTGACATCTTCATTATGTAAATCGTACTCCAACGTGTAAAACACATGAAGGCTACAACAAAAAATCTGACCCTGATAAAGATCCGCTAACTAGACACATGACCTCCTTTGTGATAATTAAAATGAATCTAATTAAGGTTTCAAAGTGTTTGCCAAGAAGACTCTAGCAGCTCCATGCACTTTCCCACAGCTCCATTTCCTCCTGTGCTGTCAGCTCATGAGCGCCTCCCTGTGGTCTGATTGTGTCAGGAAGTTGTGCTCGGTAGCAGGTCAGAGAACTCAGGCAACTTTATGCATGGAAATGACAACAATGTCTGAAAGGAATCACATTTCCGTGTTGTAAAAACGGCCTCACTGCAGCCTGGTTTTGGCGTATTTCGGCCCTCAGCGCTGTCTTACAGACACAGGAGGAGACCAGAGGAAGGTAGCCAACAAACGCCCCCAGGAAACACGGTAAGATGGTTCAGGACATCCAATCTTCACAAGTGCCGAAACCCTCTCTGTCCTTTTGTGATTGTTTCAAACCTAAACTTCAAACCTAAACCTGAAAGAAAAGAGGGGTCGTAGAAGCCACCGACACAACCATCGACCTCTGCTGGGTTAGACCCACTCCAGCTGAAAGCAAACCTTGTTAAAAACACATTTATTTTACCTCAGTGTTACACAGGAAAGAGGCTTTAGTCAAGTGTGTCCGATCATATCTCAAGCAGGTTCCTGGGTTCAGGTTCCTTTGCAAGTTGCACTAGACGAGGGTTAAAAATGGAGACCAAGCCATAAAATAAGAAAAGCAGAGAAATCTTAATATTGCAAAGTCCATATGTTTATTAGTCACTTCCATTGAAGTCCATGTGGTCTGCTCGGTGTGCAAAGGAGGTGATGAACGATCATTGTGGACAAAGTAGACCCTTTCAGCTTGTATTGATGACTGTCTCTCTCTGCCCTTGATGTGTTTGATGGCAGAAAAATTGACTGTCTTGAAATTTACCTTGAAGGGTGAATAGAATATCAGGAATGAATAGAAAAGAATTGAGCTAAATTACATCTTTTTTTAGTGTTTTTTCCATGTTCTGCGTCTCTGAATAAAGAGCCACACGACCTCTCTGTCTGAGGTCAGAAGAATCTGCGGGGTTCATGAAACAGTTAATTGCCACTTATATCAACTGAAGATGAGTGACCACCAAGATAAAATAAATGTATTTCTCTCTAACACTCTTACAGTGAGCTGACTGCTGTAGGAAATCTTTGTTTCGATCATGCTGTTGGCTCACTTTTGTCAGGTTGCAGGTTTCATTAAATCAAAATCAAATATCGATCTAAATGATTGAAATGATATGGTGCTGACAGGATATGTTGGTGGAACAGAAGATGTTCCATCTGTGCATTGTATTGTCTGATTTGACATTGATTTATAAATCTGAATCGATTGTTACTATAAGGTGCTGTCAGATAAATATTTGCTTATTGACATATCTAATTAACAGATATTACTAATTAGACAATACAGAGTAACTCAGCTATACCTTTAGGCTATGTGTGCTTTTTAATATGAATCGGTTGTTGTTGTGTTGTAGAAGGTGTTTACCTCTGGAATATTTTGGAGAAGAAGTCATCAGGGCCCCTCCCCACGCCTGTAAGGCAGAACCGCGGGTATATCCGCCCTTTTGGAAAATTGATCGGTATCGATTTATTTGTTGTTGGTATTGAGAAAAAAAACCCGCATTTGAAGAATTAAATATGACATATATATGATTCTATAGGTCTGCAAAAGAAATCACAGGGAAGGGTTAGTGGAGGTACACTTTTAATTGATGGTGATATTTATTTAGCGGTTGTGACTTTTATTGTGAAAAGCAGTAAGAATATATTAATATGTAATTAATGTCCCAGCCGACAGCTTACAGAAAACTGCATTTAAAAATAAAATATCGTATTAGATAGACTTAGATAGTGTTATTTAGTGCAGAAATATCACCTCAGTTACAACATTAGCCTAAATAATCCAAGTCAAATAATCATATTAAAGGGTTGCAGTGTTTATGCTGTAGTCTGTTTATCCTTTAAAATCCTTCAATCAGTTGCGGTTTAAAAGAATGAAGAAAGTAAGAGACAGACAAACTTCTGTCTGAATGTAACACAAATTGAGCGGACCCGTTAAATGAGATCTCATTATTAGATGCGTGCATTTGGATCCATCCGAGTCTCCAGCTTTACTTGAATTAGTTGCATTCCCCCCCTTAATCGGCCCTCCCGCAGACAACACCACTGAATAAAACACTTGATGTCCTCGGGCAGTGAGGATGTCTGTGCTCAAGGACAGCGAGTGCAATCAATGATCGGATTCACGACAGTTATTTAGAGGAGAGAAACAAGTTTTTTTTCTTTTATTCTTATGGAAATATTTTATTATGCTTATAGGATTATTCTATTGTTCTTGTAGAAATATAGAAAAATGCACCCGGCTGTGGAGCACGGAGAGCACACTTTGACAAGGTTATTTATCTCCCTGCATCCATCATTATTAAATGTGACGAAGTAGCTGTGTGTTACTGGCTTTAGATGTACTTTAGATATACTTTGGACAAGCTTTCCATCAGCTTAAAGTCTCCACCTGCAGCACAAACGCCTTACAGTTGATTGACTCCAACACTGGCTCATATTTGCAATTTTGCAGTGTAGGGCTGAAGCATTTTGGCACCAAAAATTGCAAAAAAATAAAAGTAAGTGCAGCTGATTTTAGTGGAATTTAAACCTTTTTTTGGACTGTTTAAAACTTATGTTATACATCTGTTGAATCCAGGAGGATGAATGCAGTTTTTCTCAAGGGAAAATCTAATTATTATCGTCTCACAACCTTGTCAACCATGACCTAAAGGGAGTCTAGGAAAATACAATCTTAAGCCATTCCATCACCAGAAAATAAAATGTAAGTATGGAAGCATTTACTTTTAATTAAGAGGTAATATTCCTGTAACTAAATTAAAAAGAAATAAACGATGTAGCCTATTGATTGTGAGATACTCCTACGCCTCGGCCTAAAGTGATGCATTTGTTGAGCCTTGAACATTTTTTCTGTGTTTTTCTCTTGTTTGGCAAAATTATAAGGCAGAGACGAGGGACTTCAAGGACGCGTGGACTTCAATTTAATCGAAGAGGCTGAGAGTGGAGTGGAAGAGTGACACACAGAGGAGAGAAGTTCATTATTCTGTTGAAAAGGAAACCAATGGCTTTCACAGTCGCCATGGTAACTGGCCTTTCTCTTGCCGTCAGACCTATGATAAGGTACTTCACAGCATTAAGCACAATTATTGCAAGGTAAAAGGGGAAATATTGCTTTTCAATGCTAATAGATGTTAGATATTGATTAGCATGGCGATTCATATAGAAGTATGCCCCAACTGTTTCACCCACCTGACTCTCTGCAGCCCTTATTGAAATTTAATGGAGGTGATGGATAGGCCTTTATGGAACTGCAGGCTTCAGCTGCTCTTGCATCTTTACTTAGCAGAATATCAGAAAAAAAACATCTTTACTCGAGACAGCAAGAAGGTGGAGACGGATCCAACAGTGAAATAGTGAGATAAAGCTAAGAAATTGCAAAAAAAAAAACAAGAAAAAAAATCTGAATGGTTGCATGTTTTTTTTTTTCTCATCTCCATTGTTGCAAAATGTCTCATAACATAAATACTAAACACCCACTGCTTCCAACCAGCATGTCATTCTGTTGTCAAGTGACCCTGCTCGCACTCTCGCACAATGACGGGTCGACCATGGCAGCAGTGAGGTCAGCACCAAGCACAAGTCCAGGCCATGGGGGGTGGTTGGTTAGTGGCAGCCTGCTTAGTTGGTGAGAGGATGGAGGATTAGCATAGTGGAAAGCATTGGAGCTGGTGTGTATGTGAGGAGGGATAGGGTGGCGGTGTGGGGTGGGGGGGGCAAATTGTTTTAACCCCTATTACAGCAACTGCATGGCGCTTCTCTTATCTAGGCCGCTGCAGCCACTCATTAATATTCCGTACATATGGCAGTGCTTTCTGTATCATTGTCTATTAATGGGAGGGATAATCGCTCATTCAATTATCAGGCAGTCAGCAAAAGACCAACCGTGCCTGCACACCCCTGGTTCACACAGTGGCACATCCCAAAACAGAGGTGTGCCAGTGAGAAGGTGAGAGCGATAGCAGGGATTACAACATATTAGCTACTTTAATAAATCAGGCGCTGGGAATAATGTGAAGCATATGGGGATCTGTTGGCGAGCGAGAAACATGCCTGAACTTTGTAGCAACAAAGCAGAAGAGGGCAGTATCTTAAACCTTTCTTCCTGTTCAACTTAAAAGTCACACACGGCTCTCTCACACATCAGTGTCACGGCCATAGTCCATGTGACAGTTTCAGAGATGCTTTTAAACACTGAAGCGACTCCTTTGTGGCGATGACCCGTGGTCAGAAAAGGCAGTCGATAGCTGCGTGATAGACTCTGACGGCTGCGCTGAATAAAGCTTGACCCTGATGTCTGCGGGGGCCAAAGATCTGTGAAGTGATCAAATGTTAGCGTTCATCCCTGTTGATCTGTGCTTTGTGGCCTCAGGACCCTGTGCTGCGTGTCTCCCTGCTGCCGAGGCCACGGCCTGGATATGAGGGGGTTACTGATAATAGTGTGACCTCTGGCTGTTTTGACCTGAAGAGACCTTGTTGGGTCAACACAAGCACACGCACAGAAAGAGGGAGAGTTGGAATAAGGTTGTTTAGTTATCCAGTGCACTGAGTTTCTTCAGGAGGTGGGCCAGGACATTGGGAGTGCAGAACTGCTGCAAGCGGTGGGGGGGTTGTTGCGGGGGAGTGTGAAAAAGATAGGAGGTGAAATGTTAACAAAATCTTATAAAAATCCGTAGTTTGATAAATTTTCGCATTTTGAATGAACCGAAGGCGGCTGTGGCTGTGGAGGGCCTTTGTTGGAGGTCCCATTTTCTCTGGCAGAGCAGCACGCTCACAGGGTCAGCGAAGTTACGAAAGTAATTAAAGCTTGGTGATTCACTGCCTGCTGCAGAGAAAAGAAAGCAAGCTGTCATTCTGATTTAGAAAAATAAATTACAATTTTA